CATCTCTCTTAGGGCTAGGGATTTTGAGCATTTCTTCTTGCTTCCTGTTACCTCAAATACAGTAAATAATGTGGGTCTTTAAAATCATGAAGAGATGTTTGGGGGAAGAATACTGTGCCCAACACCCCTGAAATTATACCATTTCAAGACTACTAAGTAAGTTTCCTGCTGGTTGGTGAGGCTCTGCTGACTGTTATGCACCAACAAATCTTTAGAGATCCCAGAGTGCTTCAAAAAGAAGCAAAGAAGGTCATTGCATTGTAGTCGATCAGCCACTGCTGATATTCAAATGAGCACATTCTCTCACCTTGAGTAGACAAAGAATCTGTGTGTGCACAGAGCAAATGTGGGGTCTTTTTGGTTAAATGGCACAATGGCAGGTAGAATGCATCACATCATGTAGAGACAGACTTAATGACCTAGAGGAGCCAATTTACTCAATGGACTTGAAAAGAGTTAATGTAGCTTAAAAAAAATGAGCAATTCCATTTCATCAGCAAAAGATGTCCCAGTACAGTTCTTGGACCACCAATAAGAAAGTTCAGTTGGGAGATGCCAGTGGACTACTACATATAGGCACATGTGCAATAATCAGTGTTCATTTTCCGATTCTTTTCCTGATTGATTCAATGTGAAAACTTCAGTGACACAACAGCATTGGAGTGTGAATAGTTTGCAACCATGGGATCAAGTTGATATGATACAGTTCTCTTCCAGATATAATGGTTGCTATTCACCCCTGGAATCACAGTTCCTCTGAGCATAGGTACTCATAGTTTCTCTGACAAAGTAGTTGGTAAGTGATGAGAGAAGTCCCAGACTGATAAAGCATAACCTAAAAGCTAACTGCTCATGTGGAATGGTGGCCATCCCTTCTGTTTGCTAATTTTTTTTTCTTTATAAATTCTAGTGGTATGTGGAAAGAATCATTAGAAAAGCTCAATGTCAACTATGAAAACCAGAGCAGGTGCTGACTGTGGAACAGACTACCAACTACTTATGTGCAAGTCCAAATTGAAGCTAAAGAAAAAAAAAACAAAACTCCAAGAATGGAAATCTGATCTTGAGTCTACCCTACCTGAATTTAAAAAAATCATTTGAAGAACAGGTTTGAGGCATTGAACACTAATAAGATCAGATGAGCTGTGGGATCCTATCAAGGACAGAATCCATGGAGAAAGCAAAAGGTCATTTCAAAGACAGAGGAGGAAGCAAAGACCAAAATGGACGTTAGAAGAGATAGAATATTGTACTAGAACACTGAGAAGCCAAAACAAAGGAAAACATTCAGGAAGTTAAAGAGTTCAGCAGAAGGATTCAACAGGCAGCTCCTGTAGACAAAGCAAAGTATTATAATGAAATGTGCAAAGAACTAGAGTCAGAAAATCAAAAGGGAAGAACGCACTCAGTGAAGAAAAAAAAAACCAAACAAGCCTTAAGTTAGAATACTTAAAGATGGTATGGGAAAAAAGTTGAATGATCCAGCAAGCATCAAAAGAAGATAAAAGGAATACATGGAGTCAGTGTATCAACGAATTAGTTAACACAGACAGTTTCAAAAGTAGCATATGATCAAGAATCAATGGAAAAAAGAGGAAGTTCAAGCTGCTCTGAAGAAACCAGCAAAAAATAAGGCCCCAGCAATTAATGGAATGCCAACAGATGTATTTCAACAAATAGATACAGCCTGGATGTGCTCACCAGGTTGTGCCAAGCTGTCAGGACCTGGTTAACCTGCAAAGCAGGATCAGGGATGCATTGTAAAAACAGCAGGACCACTCATCTTGGCTTGACCATCACTTCTACAGTAAACAACTCCAGGAAGCGGTATGCTAATGAATAGGGAGTGACCAAAGGCCTCAGAATTCAATGAATGTGATACCTTTTTGTTTGTCAGAACTTGTTGTAGGATATTCAGGGGAGATGTCTTTGTTTTGTGTTGAGGTCTGGGAATGTTTGATCTACCAGTCAACATCTCGGACAGTTAAGAGACAATGTGATTACCCCTGCAGGCATGTTCCTAAGACGTATATATACCCTTGCCAGAATATTAAACTTGCTATTTGTCACCAGCATTTAGCCTCTCCACATCTTCATTCAATCCGAGCCCCTTCTCTCGCGAAACTCTCGATATATTGGGGCTGCATCCCCGATACCAAGCAATCTGGCCAACTGACTGGAAGAGACCCACATTATTCTCATTCACAAAAAGATGATCTAACAGAACGTGGGAATTATTAAACAATATCTCTAATATCACACACATGCAGAAATCTTCCTGAAGATTACCTCAAAACAACTAGAAAAGTACATCTACAGAGAACTGCCATAAACATAAACTTTATTTAGAAGAAACCATGAGAGTAGGGTTGTCATTGCTGATGTCAGATGGTTCTTTGATGAAAGCAGAGAATAACAACAGAAGGATTTCTATTTATGTTTTATTGACTATGCAAAGGTATTTGAGGGTGGGGATCAAAACAAATTATGTTTAACATGGAGAAGAATGGGGATCCCAGAAAACTTGGTTGTATTCATGAGAAACCAGAAAACTGTTGCCTGAACAGAACAAAGGAACAACAAACACCACACGGTTCAGAAATCAAGAAAGGAGTGTGTCAGGGATGTATCCATTCACCATACCTTTTCAATCTATGTGCTGAACAAATAATTTGGTAGGATGTACTTTATGAAGATGAAAGTGGTATCAGGATCAGAGGAAAACTCATCAGCAATCTGCATTATGC